GCTATAGAGGGAACTCCGCTTTTATTATAGATACAGCGAAGGTTAAGGTTAAAAAAAGTTTTAGGGGAAACTTGGTGCGTATGGTAACCCCCTTCAGTTTTCGCCAGTAAATCCAAAACGGAAAAGCTGTCAAAATGTGACATTATTCACACACATTTTTAAGACGGTGCAACGTACATATATCGCCATTTTGGATTTTTCTCTTGTAAAAAAAATTATTATTAAATCTTGTGGTAATGAAATATAAAGTTGAATGCTGTCATAAGTAAAACTTTTTTTGTATACTGCTGTTCTGTGCTTCGGTATTAAAAACTTTGACTTTTTTCTGGTATACATATCATTTATAACTCATTAGGGGTGACAGATTTTTTCACGGAGTCTGATAGAGAAGAAGCCTTAATAACAGATTTGAAGTTGCGATCCATAGATTAAGTTGACGATATGATTTGTCTGTAAGAATATTTTGAATCTTTCCCTGATATCCATTTGTGTTCATGACCACCCTAACATTTCCTTTATCTGCTTTTATGATTACGATTTCTGGATTTCATATTAGAGATTTTAGGGATTTTTGCGGTTTCAAATCGAATTTCATTATTTCATCATTTCCTCTTTTGGGATAATACGTAGGGCAAGGACGAAGTTGGAACCTTTTGAAAGAACTGATTTTTCCATTTCCGAAAGTTGGGTAGAAGAAAAATGAAGATTCAAAGCTTTGTCGTGAATCATGGTTGAAAGGGTATCGAACTCGGATGGGGACAACATGGAAGCAATGTGAAGGTGTAGAGACCGAAGAGAATTATTGATTTGGTCTATTTCCTAACGAGTATAATGAATTCTTTCTAGAAGTAAAGCGAAACTAGAATTTTTTAAGAATTTTATAAGGGGATGAGATCTTGATGTGATGGGATATTTTAAGGAAATTGGGGATAACATTATGGTATCTACAATGTAACGAAAATGTTAGTGTCAGAGTAATCTTACCAGTTTCAGTCGGTGATCTTCTAGCATTCTGCTTTTGCGCTAGATATCCTCTCCATAAAGGCTTGTTAATTTTCCAAAGAAACGTCCACAGGCTACTGTAATACTCTTAACAAATCTTTTGGATTCCTCCGTCGGTTTTTGTTGAATCCCACTTGCTACCGTTCGGCTAATCATCCTGTTGGCTTCTTTAGAGCTTGACTAAAACTGACTCGCATTTTACTCTGTATCTGCTTATATATTGTTTGATGGGGGCAGTGCTAAATTAGGGGCATAAACACCGTCTCGGATGACTGATTCCCATATTGGTGACAGATAAGGTTGTTGTAGAATTTTGCTACGAATTCAGGTTCCTAGGCCAACGTCAAACTCTTGGCCAGTAGAGTTTTCCAATCAACCATGGAATTTTCTAGCCTCAGAAGTTCTAAAGAAATATGACGTCAAAACCAGATTTACCACTTGTCCAAAAATCTCTCGACATCTTCCATCCGTCAAAGACAAGTGCCATTTGAGATGCCAGGAGTTTAAGGCATTCCATGCATATGCGGCAAAGAATACATTGGAAAGACCGGACGAAAAATATCAACTAATGTAATCAATCCTTCTACCAACGAAAAATCCGGGAGTCTATAAATAATCTAACAATCTTAACCGCAATTCAGGTCTTTATCTGTCACCAATATGGGAATCAGTTTCAGTCAAGCTCTGAAGAAGCCAACAGGATCGTCAGCAAGTTCGTCTCAGCAAAAAACGGCGCAGGAGGAATCCAGATGTTTCTGAAAGACAAAAACAATTAATTTTGGAAACGTTTGTTAAACCAAATTAGCGTTCGAAAATTATCCGTCCCTTACGGAGAACAGAGGACAGACAAAAAATGAATGTTTGTTCAGAATGCTTAAAGTTCTCTAGCCAATGCAGAGGTAATTAACGAAGTGGGAAAAGAAAAAGAACTGCTTCAAATAATTAAGAGAGCCTACCTGAGTGTCGCCAACCATCATTACATGGAGCCGGTACCTCAAAAGGAAGTAGATACTTTTAGGAATGTGAAGTACATCAGTTTTGTGAAAGTAACAAGCAAGTTTTCAAGTAACATAGCGAGATTATAACGTGCAACTAGCGCCCTCTATACGCAACTCGAAGAATTCCGAACTCAAGTTTCATCTTCGTATCTCATTAATGAGCGAGATTTTATCAAGACGTATTTGGCTCGATATCATTATTTGTAGGAGTTTTATTTGGTTGCAGACCACCCTGTGGAAATGTTTCCTTTTAAAGATTTGTTGGACCCCAAAAATTTGCCGACAACCTTATCCGCGCGTATTTTTTCGCAACTCTTTTTCCTGTTCTGTCTCGTTTTAACGCTTAAGGGTAAAAACACGGTGGAAGCAAATTTCCTCATGGTCTATGTTATTACCATCCTCTTTAATTGGCATTAAACGTGGAAAAAAAGTGCATCCAGGTTAACCAAATGCATATTTTTATAGTTTTTGAAAATTTGATCTTCATATTGGGCAAAATGTTACAAAAGTTCACGTTTCTATTATTGTTGTTGTCTAGTTTTATACAGGGTGTCCAAAATTAAACCCTAAACATTCACTTTTTTAACAGGTTCACAACTTCTTTCTTTAACAAACTGTATAATGGTTACCTATATCTACTCCATATCCGAAATTTCGGTTTTTTAATAGCAACATATTTGTGCGGCTGAACATTTTCTCTTCACGTACTTGGTATGGAAAAACAATTGTATGTTAAAATTTAATAAGGAAGAATCCTCAGAATCCTGGAGACCTCTGGTGTTTTTCATGTACGCCATCACCGTTTGTCACACACAACACTACACACGAATTTCAAGAACACCTTCAACACCCCATATTCGTATAATTTGTATCAATGTATCGAAGTATTCAAAAAAGCGAATAATAAATAAAACTTTTTTATGCAGAATAGAATCCACACGCTTCACGAGATATAAATTTTCAAGATATATTTAGTATGAATGTTTTTGCCCTAATATTAAATAATCAGGAGGAACCGTTACTCAGTTTATAAAAGAATTTATTATCAGTGGTATCAGTTAGCATATCTCTTGCTTCAAAATCGCTGGATTGGTAGCTATGACTGTTAGAGATGGTCTCCGCGGTCACTTGATTTGACCGTACTTGATTTTTATTTGTCGTGATGTATCAAAAGTAAAGTGTATCCTTCTCTGGTGAATACTAGAGAAAAATTACTTAAAAGGATATGCCGAATTGAAAAGTGCATTCAAATCGTCGTTTTGTATACGAAAACTAGTATCTAAGAAAATCGACTTTTTGAGATAATATACTCAGTGTTTTTCCTTATAGGTAAAAAAAAACAATCTCTATCATAATTAAAAATGGCGGAATATCAGTTACGCCTTACACCAACCGTTTTTAAGTTTTTCTACTTTAACACCAGAAGTGAATCAAAACCAATTTGCTGATTGGAGTGGCTACTAATGTCAAAGACGTTGAGCAAGTAAGCATACAATTTTTAGAGGAATGGGAACATTACCTTAAAAGGAATACATAATACATAATTTCTCCAATTTTCCTGTTCAAAAGCTTAACAACGAAAGGCCTAAAGTTTCAGCTTTTAAATACGACAAAACTTGATTTCAATGTGCTATGAAAGCAACTAACCAGTGATAAAACAAGTTAAACGTCAATATATAAATAATTTCATCTTTAACTCTATTCCCTAGCTTACAGCTTTTCGAATGTTTATATTAATTTTTTTTTTAACGAAAAATGTATTTTTTTAGCTAGACAAATATTTTCATTTAACTTTAATCTTTAAGTTAAGATTTTTGAAATGTTTGGAACAATTAAACTAAAATAGTATATTATGCAACAAGTGCGGTAAACGGCATGTGACTCACGAGTTTATTTGACACGAGCGGAGCGAGTGTTTAATAAACGAGTGAGTTAAAAAGTTTACCGAATGTGTTGCATACTATACTTTTTCTACGACCGTTAGTTTTTCGCCAAACAACATGAATACATTCACTGATATGGCCGTCAGAATTGACAAACGTCAAATTCAAGGCGTGGGCGAAATCATCCGATTGCTCCCAAATTTGTGCGGTAAAATCCCGGAAATGTCCGAAGTGACTCGGATCTGTGGGAAATAAAACTGACATGGTAAAGTGACGTTTCCTGCATACTAGATCGGTATGTAATTAGGTATTTTATAGACGGGAGTAGAAAAATATACTTTTGCATCAGCATTAAGGCGTATTTTTTTACTATCCATTGACTTTAAAATTAAACAGCATACTAACGGGTCTATCCCAATTTCTTTTTTTCTGTCTATTTTACAAGTATATGATTAAAAAATATATAATATTCATAATTTTAATTCCACTTTGCATTGGAACAACCAAACTACAGTTACAAAAACTTTTCAATTTCAATTCAATTGCATCAATATTTTTTTTCTATTCCGTTCCGTAAAGTACCTAATTATATACCCATCTAGCGTGCGGAGAGCGTAATTTTGCCACGGCAGTTTTGCTTCCCAAGGATCCGAGCCACTTCGGACATTTCCGTGATTTTACCGCACGGGTTTGGGAGCAATCGGATGTTTTCGCAGATTTTACAGCATGGCTTGAACTTTGACGTTTGTCAATTCTGACGGTCATATCACTGAATGTATTCGTATTGTTTTGCAAAAATGCACCCAAAAACTAACGGTCTTAGAAAAAGTATAGTATGCAACCCATTTGGTAAATAAAATAAGTCACTCGTATGTTAAACTCTCGCTCCGCTCGTGCCAAAAAAACTCGTGAGTCAAATGCCGTTTACCGCACTTGTTGCTTAATATACAATAAAACCGTTCTCTTGAAATATTAAAAGATACGTAAACAAGGCGACGAAATGACATAAATATATGTAGAAAATCTTCTATATATATATATATATATATATATATATATATATATATATATATATATATATATATATATATATATATATATATATATATATAATTTCTTTATTTTAGTTCGTTTAAGTTTTTTTTTTTGTTTTTTGTACTTTACTTGTACTTTGAGAGCTTACATCTTGCACTTCTCCCAACATTCACCATGAATGAAAAAAAAGGAGAATATCAGCATTTGAGTAACCGTATTAAATTAAAATTTTTATTTTCTTAACGACAGCTGTCATGTTTGACATGTTTGACAGAGCGCTCTAATTGTTTCTCCCAAGAACGTCAAGGGAACAAACACGATTCCATCATTTATTTATATGGTTAATATGATCCGCAATAGGTAGCCGTAACGCACTTTGATAGAGAAATTTTGGACTTGGTAACACTAGAAGTTACAGGGTGTGCGATTTGAAAAAGACGAGTTTAAGTTTGTTAATGACAGCTGCCGACATAAAATTGTTTTTCCATAGCCACCTACGTGAAGGAAATAAATAAAATACCATCGAAAACCTAATTATTTTGAATATGGGTTGCAATACGTATTGGTAACCCTGTCATAGTTTGAGAAAAAAAGAAGTTGTGGACTTGATAACAGATAAAGTTACCATTCCAATACCAAGTACGTGAAGAGAAAATGTTCAGCCGCACAAATATGTTACCATCAAAAAAACCCAATTGTCGGATATCGAAAAGGTAGAGGTAACCATAATACAGTTCGATGGAGAAAGAAGTTCTGGACTTGTTAAAAAATGTAAATGTTTGGGGTTTAATTTTGGACACTTTGTATGAAACAAGACAAAAACGCGAACTTAAACCTCTTTTTAACATTTTGCCAAAAATTTTTGAAAACTACAAAAAATATGCGTTTTTAACGTTGGTTAAGTTTAAGACGCAATTTTTTTTAAGGTCAAATATTTAAAAAAAGGATAGACATAGCTATAGAATATTATACACAAAATATGTTTAAAATTTCACATAGAATCTGAAAATGTAACAATATATTGAAATGGGCAAGCTTGCAGCAACTTCTGGTTAAACCGGAACTTGCAGTATGTTAACCTTGACTCCAAATATCAAACGGACTTTCCAAATTATATCTAATTAAAGTTTTAATGAACGGATAGCGTAAAAAACATTTATAAGCAGTTACAGAGAAGAATGATAGTCAGTTTCAATTAAGCTCTGAAGAAGTCAACAGAATGATTAGTAAAACATCAGCAAGTTAGATTTATACACAACCGACGCAGGAAGAACCTAGTAAATTTCCAAATAGTATTATTGTACCCTGTAGAAGTCTGAAAAATTAATAAATATATTACGAATATTTCTCTAATCGTTGTGACTTCATCTAGTGGTAATCCCGTACTTGCCATCCATTGTTATCAGGAAAATTTTCAGATACGTCAATTAAATGTCGCTCAGATCCTTCCTTGCCTGTTATGTTACAATATGACATTGATTTGATTTGATACTCTATATCAAATAGGCATCCTGGCATGCTTTGGAAGATTGGGAGGGAGAATGGTGCCTTTGCAGTTTGAAGTGAAAGTGGTTATGGAATGTTTAGTTGTTTGTTAGCTAGCAACTTGTAGAGTTCTGAAGTTTGAAATGTACTCCCATCACTCTGTTTATCATGTCCACTGGTAAAATCAGTTGATTGTGAAGGTTGTGAAGCACATAATCATTATCATCATGTATCCCATCACGATATATGGAGTGAACACTAACCTTCGTTTTTTTTTCCTGAGTTGGAGATGTTTATTCATATAAAACTAATATAAGAAAGAAGCTGTGTATCTAAGTATAAGGAAACTTGCTTCCACTGTGGTTCTACCACAATGTTGCGTCGCCCTCCCAAAACCAGCCTTAGTCGGTAAAATCACGCACACACATTCGCGCGAATGGTCGCTACGTAAACAACAACACTTTGACGACATTTTGATTATTGTTTGTTTTATTGTCCTAGCTGTAGCGGGCTCAGCACGATCCCGCTATGGTGGTGTTTATTGTTATCACCGTTGTCTTTTTTATTAGAGTCGCTTTTGTCGCCGCCGCCTTCGCGACGTTCGATCACAACACTTAAACTCGTCTCGGATTTCGGCTCGCGCGTGCGCGTTAGCTTATTACCCCTCGTTTTTGCCTCCTGGTCGGTCTCGCTCTCGTTACTCGAAACGCTCTGTATATCGTACGCCGAGTCGATCGTGGGCAGTTCGATGATGCTGTCTTCGCGTGAGGTCCTGCTCTGCTCGTCCGAGTCCGCGAGTTCCGGCAGATTGATCTGCAAGTCGGGAAATTGCTTATGTAATAACTGAAAACACCAAAGATACGCAGAAAAGACAAAAAGGATCACAAATTAAAACTCAAAATGGGGAGGTATTAATAACAGACAACGAAACGATGCAGAGAAGGAGGGAATTTTTCCTGAAAAAGAGAAAATAGTGGACAAGAATTACAAGTGCGAGTATGCCATAGAGATAAACAAGATAATTAGTATGCCGAGGGTTCAGCACAAGGATGATGTATAGGGTGGACCGTTTATCTTGGGACACCACCATATCTCGGAAATTATAGGGGATGGAGAAAAAAGTTAAATACCAAAGTTAATTGATGTATTACAAATCTATAATTTATTTCAATTTTGTATATACAGGGTGTTTAATTTTAAATAGAATACCTAGAATAGATATAGAATAATTTTATTTCATTTTTGAATTCTATTCAAAATTCTAGACGTATTTCATGTATAATGTGCTATACCTAACCGTTTTAGACATTTTTAATTTTTTATGCGCGAAAATGACATTTGCAAGACGTAAAATATCTGCCATTCGGAAGCGTTTATTGTTTCACTTGAGTAAGTTTTGATGTAGACAAAGGACTCGAATAACGGATTCTATAAGAAATTTCGATACATGTTTATACAGGGTACACGAAAAATAAGATCAATGGATGAAATTAAAACAACTGCCAAAACATTTTAAATGGAAACTACCAATTTTTATAATCTTGCCATATTCAGCATTAAAAATTAAAGCAATTTTTTTCCTTTTATACATTTATCTATCACAAACAATATACTGTTGCCATATTAGTTCAGTTAGTGTAAGATGGCTATGACGGCGTTTGGACAAAACAAGTGTACATGCGCTTATGAAGATCCAAAGATTATGTAAATATATGTATGCATTATTATTATACAGAATAAGACCAACGATACGCGATAACGTTGGTGAATATTGTATTAATTAATGATCAATAAAAAATTAATAGTTTACAAACGATGATAATCATTGTAACGGTGGTTCAACAAGTAGTATAAAGGGTTTTCAAATATATTATATAATGGCATTTCTAACAGATTTACGTATCCGATATCTTCTCTTATCCGACGTTTAAGTTCATCGACAATTGACCGATTGTGTTTGTAAACTAAATGTTTAAGTGAACCCCATAGAAAAAATCTAGGAGAGTTAGATCGGGGCTTCTTGGAGGCCAAGCGTAACTACCATTCTTCCCAATCAATTTATATATGTGCTAATTTCTTGACTTCTGTGATAAGGAGCCCCATCCTGCTGCCAAATAAAATTTCGTCGTTTCCATTCAGGACCTTCATTTTCAACAAAGGGGTGGATAATATTTAAAAGCCCTAAGTAGCCTTGGGAATTTAAATTTTCATCAAAAAAACCTATTATTCTGAACCTCCAAATGGCGCGCTATACTTTGATAGAAGTTCTACCTGATCTGGTAACTTCAATACGTTTTTTATTATTCTGATTGCTCCAGTAATGGGTATTTTTCCAATTAACAATTTTAATCATCGGTCTAAATAATATTAGCAAACATATTTTCTGAAAAGTATTTTCCATAAGACTGTTACATAAATCTAATCTGACGTTGTTTATTTGAAACCAGGTTCGAAGCGTTGTTCTTTTGACATCCAGATCTAAAGACGCATTTCGGGATGAATCTTCAGAGGTTCCATATATTCTAAAGTGTTGGTAAATCGTTTTTTTTTTCTAGGCGCCTCCTTAAGTGCCAGGGTTCGATTTTTATTGTTCGATATGTAACTTTCTAAAATATCTTTTCCTCTGTGTTAAACATGATCCGCAGTGAAAATATGAAATTATGAACAAAAAATAAATAAATCAATAACGTATCAAAAAATATTTGAATTATGACACTAATCAACAACAAAACTTGCGTGCAAGGAGGCAGCGTTCTAGCACTTGTTTTGTTTAAACGCCGTCATAGCCAACTTACAATAACTGAACTTACATGGCAACAGCATATTATTTGTGAGATACAAATATTTAAAAAGAAATATTTCAAAAAGCAAACATATTAGGCATATACAAACTTATATAAAATGCAAACAAAAAGTTCTTGGCATTTTTTAAAATTTCATTTTTAATCTTATTTTTCGCGTACCCTGTATAAATATGTAATCGAAATTTCTTATGAAATCCGTTATTGGAGTTGTTTGTCTACAACAAAACTTACTCAAGTGAAACAGTAAACGCTTCCGAATGAAGAAATTGGCAGATATTTTACATCTTACAAATGTCATTGTTGACATAAAAAGTTAAAAATGTCAGAAACAGTTTTAGGCATAGAACATTATACACAAAATGTGTCTAGAATTTTATGTAGCATTCAAAAAAGAAGTAATATACCAGGTGTTCCATTTAAAATGAAAAAAATGATACTCGCCCACGAAAAATGAAGCACCCTGTATATACAACATTAAAACAAATTGAAGGTATGTAATACTCCAATACTCCCCAAGATAAACGGCCCACCCTATACATGGGCATATTGCAGGAAACTGTAAGAGATACAGCGTAGCTTGAACGGGTAGGAAAGTAACGTAAAAAACGTAATGTAAAAAGATAATCTAACTTTGTTTTATTTTAATTCGGTACCATTATGTAGATACAGGGTGAAAAAGAAATGCGTCTGGGTAGAGCTATATTTAGGAGTCTGCGAGACAACCATCTCACCTACGGCAGTTTTGCTAAGGTAAATAGGAACAAACCAGATGAAAATAAAGAAGATTTGGTCTTGCAAAGCTTGGTTGACACACTTCGTACATCTTTACGTCAGATTGAAGAGACAACAAGTGTTGCTCGGTCAACAGCGAATAGTATTTATAGGCGTCATAAAGTATATTATCCTTATCATGAACGGCTTCACCAGGGACTACATGATGGGGACACTGTTAGAAGAATAGTTCCAGTTTTCTATTAAAAAAAAAATTAAAAGTCCATTGATCGGATGAGCGCCGATCTACTAATTGTGGACTGTTTGATAGTAAGAACACTCTATTTTGGGTATTAGCTCGTAAAGTTAGGCATCAAGTGAAGTGGCGATTTAAAGTTTGGTTTGATATTTTGGGTACCCACAAAATTGAACCAAATTTTTTCGATTATAATTTAAATTGAAACCATATACAAACAAACGTAACAAAACCTGAACATGAACATTTCACTAGCAGCTCTGCAACAAAGGTTTTTCCAACATGACGGCGCACCGCAACACAATACACAGATTATCACGAACTTTTTAAAAGCAGAAAAACACAACATTCCCTGATTTCTATATATAGAAATATATAGAAATTCAATGTGGCGAAATACCCATACGCCGAAATTTTTTTGATGAGATTCTTGGAATCGCCGAATCATTTAACCCATATCCTGAAAATTTGAAAATTTTAGCTCCTATAATAAAGAAAATATTGTGGTTTTTCAAAAACGGACATTTTCCTTTTTCGCCCTGTAAGGTAACGATTTAAAATAAAACAACGCTAGATTTTTTCTTGACATTTACATACTTTATCTTTCTTCCTGTTAATCGACGCTGTATCTTTTTCAGTTCCCGATATCCTCATGTACATCATCTTATACTAGACACCCTGAATAACAAGAGAAGAAATACAAGTAATAAAGGAACTCAAAAATGGATGCGATAAAATAACAAACAATGTGGTAAAAGTGGCATAGAAATCCTTGTCAAATTCTAAAGGGTGTCCAAATAATGTGTCAAAATTAAAAAAAACAATTAAAATTGTTAAATTAAAATTTAAAAATATATATGGTGATTCATAAATATGTGGGAAATCAAAAAATCAAACTTGTGGCATTAATAGATACTCCCTCTTATATTATATAGCGTTTACGAATTTATGAACATCTTTTTGTCAAAAATGTCCTGTGTTTAACACTCTATAGTTTTGACGCCATAAAGTGCTACAGTCAATTACTTAACAAAATTTACGAGCAACTGCGCGGCTGTCTCAATTGTCGGTGAGGCGTGGGCGGAGTAGGCGAGTGAAACTGAATTTCCAAACTAACACTTTATTCAAAAACCAAGAGGGAGGAGAGGCTGAGACTCAAGAACAATAGCTTTCGCTTAGGCGTGTATCAAATATCACGCTTGCCGCAGAGCTCTCGACATTACATGCTTTAAATTTCACATTAAATAAAAGCCTCAGGAGTGAAGTAGTTAAAACAATCCTTGATGTGGTCAAAGTCAAAGTCAAAAGGAAAAGGCCGTCGATGTGAGGTGGCCTTATAGGTTGAGCGTTATCCTTGAAAACCTCTCTCCGCTAAATCCGACCAAGTCGGGGGTACAAACGACCACGTCGGTTTTTATTTCGGAAATCAGGGTTATCATTTTCCCTCTAAACCCGCAATACGCGTGAGCTTTAAGCGACTTCTTACAAAAACAGCCTGGACAAGGAAAAACTTACAGGATGCGCGCTGCTTACCGGCGGGAAAAAAACGTCAGAACCGCCAGAAAAAGAAAAGGGACCATAGAACGATCTTCACTACCACTACTACAACGCTATGCTACAGACAACAGCAATTCGCTGGTTAATGCTTTAATTTCGCCAGGGAAAATAACGTTATTCGCAACCATTTGAGTTATTGCAAGTCTGTGACCATCACCTGTTCCGCGCATATGGTAAGCAGTAATATGTATCAGCTGAGGGGACATTGTGTTCATGCACTGAAATGACGGAAATGCAGCTATTAGAAGGAGTTTTAGAAACCGGGAGTGTTTACAACTCTCGGCGCGCCCACCGTACGTTACTAGTTGGTCCTAATTCGAGCCATTTCAGGCATTAGCAGCACCACAAGAATTATATATGATACATAGCCCTAAGGCAAGATATCATATCCAATACGATCGATAGTTTAACAAACCAAGGAGCCCTCAGGTTCCACAATAAAAATCGTTATTATCTGCCCAAGGCTTGTAGCATTTAAAAATTCA